ATAAGCCTTTTGTGAACAGCGGCTTGCCATAATTGCATTATTCTAAGAAGGGTCTATCCCAAAAAGCAGGAAATAAGCAAAGGCAGCAGGAGGCCTGCATGGATGAGCGAGGAGCTCCTGACTAAACTCAGACATTAAAAGGAAGTGTACAAGAGGCAGAAGCAGCGACACGTGACCCAGGAAGAATGTAAACACACTGACAGAGCATGCAGGAATGGGGTTAAGAAGGCTAAAGCCCGCCTGGAGTAGAAACTGGCGAGGGATGTGAAGGGCAACAAGAAAGGTGTAAGCAGCAAAAGGGTAGCCTTAGCAACTAGAGAAAATATGAGCCTGCTGCTAAATGGGGCAGGGGCCCTGATGAGAGAGGACACAGAAATGGCAGAGGTACTGAGTGCCTTCTTCACTCGAGTCTTCCCCGACCGGCCCTCAGGAATCCCAAGCCCCTGAGACCAGAGGGGAAGTCTGGAGCAATGAAGACTTGCCCTGGGTGAAGGAGGCTCAGGTTCGGGAGCACTGAAACGCAGTGGACGTACACAAGTCGCTGGGTCCTGACAAGAATGCACCCATGAGTGCTGCGGGAGCCAGCTGATGCCGTTGCAAAGGTACTCTTGATGATCTTGAAAGGTGATGGTGACTGGGCGAGGTTCCAGAGGACTAGAAGGAAGCAAGCGTCACCGCTATCTTTGAGAAGGGTGAGAAGAATGATGTGGGGAACTACAGGCTGGTCGGCCTCAGCTCAATCCGTGGGCGGGTGGCGGAGCAAGTGATCGTGGAAGACGTTTCCGAATGTATGAAGGACAAGGAGGTGATTGGGAGTAGTCAGTATGGATTTCTGGAGGGGAAATTGTGCTTAACCAGCCTGTGAGCTTTGTGTGAGGAGATGGCTGGCTTGGTGGGGGAGAGGAGGGAAGGGGATGTTGTTCACCTCGGCTTTAGTAGTGCTTTTGACACTGTCTCCTCATAGATAAAACTGAGGTGACTGAAAACTGGCTGAACTGCTGGGCTCAGGGGGTTGTGGTCAGCGTGCAAGGGGCCAACTGGCAGCTGGAGAGCACCTTTGCAGAGAAAGACTTGGGGGTCTTGGTGAACGAGAAGCCCAGCATGAGGCCGCCATGTGCCCTTATGGGAAAGAAGGCCAAGGGTGTCCTGGGCTGCGTTAGGCAGAGCGTTAGCAGCAGGTGAAGGGTGGTGGTGCTTCTTTCCCTTGTCTCAGCACTGCTGAGACCACATTTGCGGCACAGGGCTCTGGAGTACAAGCGAGACATGGACATACTGGAGCAAGTCTTGTAAAGGGCCATCAGAATGATTAAGGGGCTGGAGCATCTCTCCTCTGTGGAGAGGCTGAGAGAGTGGGGGCTGTTCAGCCTGGAGAAGAGAAGGCTCAGAGGGGGATCTTATGAACGTGTACGAATACCTGATGAGAGGGTGTCAAGAGAACGGAGCCAGACTCTTTGCGGTGGTGCCTGGTGACAGGGTGAGAGGCATTGGCACCAACTGGAACCCAGGAAATTCCATCTGAACACAAGAAAACCTTTTTTCCCTGTGAGGGTGACTGAGCACTGGAAGAGGTTGCCCAGAGAGAGGCTGTGGAGTCTCCATCCTTGGAGACACTCGGAACGCAACTGGACGTGGTCCTGGGCAACCTGCTGTAGGTGACCCTGCTTGAGCAAGGAGATTGGACTAGATGATCTCCAGAATTGCCTTCCAGCCCCAACTATTCTATGATCTTGTGATTTTCCTTTTTTTTTTTTTTTTTGGAAATAACTGAAGTCTGTATTGAAGTCTGAAAATTTCATTTAAATGATAAAATAAGAATAAGAACTCCTGCTCTTGTAAAAGGCAGGAGTTTGCATTTTCATATGTTGTACTTTGAAATAATAATCTTGCATGTAACAGTTACATATTACATGTTACAGTGGGTCCCTTGGAAATTTTCAGTAAAATGGCACTTTGTTGATATCCCATCACAGGGTTTTATTCTACCAGACAAATACATTGTCACCATCTTGTATTCTAATGTGCAATTCAGTGCTGTTCTGCAAAGGGAACGTTTGCATATTTATAAGAAGGAATGTATATTCAGAAACATCAACAAGATCTCTCATTACAAATGTGCCTGGCTGTATATTAGTCAAATGCATATTATAAAAATTGTTTTCAGTCAAGTGTAGTTTATAAGTTAGCAACTGCCACCATTAAAATGTAAGTCAGTATTCTCTGAAGAAGATGAAACAGGTTAACATGCTTATATCTTATATCCAAAATAAAAGCACATACAGATTTTTTTAAAGCATGTAATTATTTCTAATTCTGATTTCTGTTTCTGTTGCAACTTTGATTTTTATTGAGAGGTGTGTTACAGCTACCTGTAAATGGCAAATTTCTGCTGTGACTTAAGTGTTTAAAATGATGTCATCAGCAAATGCAAAGGGTGTAGATAAGACCTGTCCACTTGCTCAACATCAAACATAACCACTTCTTGTCTTTCTTATTTTATGATAAGCAGTTTTTCTAAGTTAATGGGTTACGATGGTATTTATTCCAAGCTGAGAAAGTTGTTACCCTAACTCAGCAAAAAATATCGTATGAAAACTGTGAAAACGTTCTACTACGGCTATCAAATTTCTTTTGTTCAGTAAGCTAGTACTGATACTTTGTTTTAAACAGCTGAAAACTAGTGTAGTGTATTATTGTGTTTGCTATTTATTTATTTGCATCTGACACATGACTTTTTAATTATTTGATGTTTGTAATACTGGAAGACAGCTGGAAAAAAAAATTCAAAGTTTTCTCCGTTAACAGTTTTATTGGGAGTTGCTTTCTGGGCCACTAACAACTTTTGCAAAGAAGAGTGTGTCTTTTTACATTCAAATAATGGAATTGGGAAATTGTGGCAACTGTGACTCTCCTCACACTTAATTAAAAACCTTAATGGTATCTGCATTTTCTTTGTTCTAAATTCAAAGAAGAATCTACTGTGGAATTCCATTTCCCTAACTTTCAATTAGTTTTGTTTCAAAACAAATGTTAGATGTAGAAGAAACAAAGTGGGAGTTCTGTTCGAAACAAGTCAGTATAAGGAAGGCGATCAAGTGAAAAATAAAACCTTTAAGACTTCTGTTTCAGACAGAGTTTCAAATACTTTGCTCTTCGTTATTCAGAATGCTGGATCTGAATTTTTTTGTTCAGTTAAACATGTTCAATGTCTAGATATTTCTCATTTTTAAAACAAATTGTGCTATGGTAATTTTGTGGAAGTAATTGCAGTCACAATATAGCTCATGACTCTCATTCTTTCTTTTTCCCTTTTGTTACATTTTCTCTTTTCTCATTCTTTCCCTCCTTGGAAAATTCATTCTTATTTTAAGTCTGTTGTCAAATGTCACTTTTTTGTACAGTATGATAAACTGTGACTGGGGAACAATATAATTTTTTAATAAAAGAAATTTTCGCATGTCTGTAAGAATTAAAAGGATCTAAGCCAAATTTTAACTATTTAAGCTAAGACAGGCTTACTTAGATGGGACCGGAGAGGTTGACAAGAAGCATAAGGGGAATGTCTGTGTTCTGCATTTCACCTCTTGTTCCTGCACATTTGCTCCTTATCCCAAGGAACTGCAGTGCGCCCTGGATAGGTCTGTCAGACTTTGCAGTTGCAGGAGCCATTTTATCCAGAATTTCTAGGCAGATTTTGAATATAGGCAGCTTACAGGCTAGAAATCAAGGTTAGTGTCATGAGCAAGTAAGGCAAATCACTTCTGAAAGGGGGATTGTTATAATAGCGAAGGTGCCCACATTAAGTCTGGAAGGCGCAAACACAGAAGGATAGAGGCCAAGAGGGAGCAAAATAAACTTACAAGGAGTATGGCGGTGGGCAGCACTAGGATTAAAAGCCAGTGGAGGAGGTAACAGGGAGACTGTGGATGAAAACAATGGAGTAGATGAAGAATCTTGGTAGTGAAGAGAGTTGAAGAACTGGATCTCATGAGGAGCTGTTAATTTTTTTAAAGTTTTTTTCTTAAGCACTTTATTTTGCTAACATTTAAATCTAATTCCAGTGAATAAATCTGATTTCTGTTGAAATACTTTATTATACCCGATTCAGCCTTTTCTTACTAATACGATACATCATCACAGTATCTCAGCATCCCCTCAGTCTTTTGAGATAGGTAATTACTGTTATCCCCAGTTACTCACATGTTGAGTAGAGAAACAATAGTTTCAACTGATTAAGTAAAAAAATCTAATCTGACATAGCAAGGTTTTGAGGAAAAGTTTTTTCCCAACTTCAAGTCAGTCTATCCTTTCCGTTGTTGGATTTTGGGAGAGTAGAAGACTTCTAATAAATGCTTAAAATTAAATTAGTGAACAGTAAAGGTTTGTGAATAAAAGCATTTCCTTTCTTGCCTTTAAGAGGGAATTTTTCTATTGTGAAGATTATTTTTAATTTTTTCAAGAGATGTATTGAGTTCTGACGTTTCTGTTCAGTGTTAATGAATGTGATGTGGGCTTTGGAAGATTAAATGGCCAATAGTTTATAATCTAAAAAACCTGCATCCAAAGCTACTTGAAGCTTACCTTTATGATTCACTAGACCACGTTTCTGTCAGCTTTCTCCTGTAATGTTACATGGTATAGCCCTGTAAATTGCTGTTGCATGACTGACACTTCTCCCTTCCATCATAGGATGCATCTGATTTAGAACAGCTTTTTTTTCTAGGCAAAGCAGTCATGCAGCCTGCTAGTTACAGCAGAACATTTTTATTGTAGAAGATGCTGCATTTCAGTGTAACCTTAAAAGTCAAGTAAAAGATGAGGAAGCCAAAATACTTTGTATCTAGGTATGGAGTGTTTGTTTTTGTTTTAATTATTCCATTCTCCCCTCTTTGAGAGTGTTACGATTAGCGGACTAGTGCAAAGGATGTAGTGATGTAACTGAATGTACAAAGTAGCCCCGAATACTTTTGAAAATTAAAAGTCTCATTTGCATCTTTTCCATTGCAGGTTTCATAATTGCCCTCATGCCTTTTTATAATACACAGTCATCTCTAATACGAGTTCAAGTAGGCCCAAAAGGCAAGCGGGCTGTCTGCATGTCATCTGGTCTTTTTTGCTGTTGCTTATTAAAATGGTACTTACCCAAATCCAATTTATTTTGTTTACCTTTAAACATGTTCTAAATGCACATCTGATTTTAATAACATCTGGAAAATATGAAGTGTGTGAAATCCCCTCAAATATAGTGTTCTCAACAACTGCTTGCAAGTGCATGCATGTTCTTGTCCTGTTACATACACACACTGCACACATGCAAAGATGGTGCTTTCTATTTTTTCAGTGTCTTTTTGTAGATCAGAATGAATGTGTTTCTATTCTGACTGGAAATATACATATATATACACACATGAATTTTTTTTTCCTATTATATAGTATCCTAGTGCTTGAGTTAAGGTAGGGGCATCAGCTGTTTTGAACGCACTGTAACAGTTTGTAGCTGAATTTCAGGACCTGTGATGCAATGCTGTTTTCATCTGATACTTTTTGCACTGCTATTTCTTAGTCTCTTGTTCACCCTTACTATAATAAAAGGGTGTATTTTGTATGACACATAACAGATAATACTTGTTTTCCTCCACAGCTTTTCAGTACAAAGATAGGCTACTATTTATTCTTTGTGTTTTTTACATACTTGTAAATGTCTTCAGACCTATCCCTGTAACATTTTTCTTTCAAATTGTTTTTCACCTTTTTTAAGATCTATCTCTACTTAAATATTTCTTTCTTTTTTCATGAATTTTAGTAACAAAGGAAACTTTTCCTTGTTTTTAAGCCGAGTTTTCTGATTTGTGAAGATTCTAAGATAATTCTAGATCAACTACCTGGAAATGAGCCTAGAAAAGTAAAACTGAAATTTAATTGGTTGTATGACCATCATATTTTGAAGAAATTTGCTATATTAGTATCTTCCTGTCTGAAATTTCCTTGTGGTTTTAGTCTACACATGCTATTATTGAATTTCTATTTAAAAGTTTTCTGAGAACGATGGTGTATAATGAAAGGAGAGACCAGGACAAAAAAAAACTCTTTTGAGGAATACAGAGTTTACCAGTTTCCCATACATGATTTAGTATTTTGTGGCCAAAAAACTAAACTATTTTTACTTTTTAGATGCAGAAATGACTAAATCTTGGCATTAATAAAGGCTTCCTGTGTTGTTATACTTGTTCATGTTTGGAATTACTTGAAATTGAAAGGTAGTCTTTGGATAAAATCTGGAAGTCTGGTAAAGGTAGTTCTTCTAGGATTGTCCATAATGGATTGTGCATACAGTGCAGTTATATTGTATAAATATGCTCAGCTAGCCAAAGAAACTGGTGAATTGCTGTTAAGATCTGTTCTTCTTAATTTGTGTGTAATACTTACTGACCCCGATAATTGATAATATTTAATAAGGGCTTAACATATGACTTCTTGCTTATAGGAGACTGCTCTACAAAAACCGAGAGAAGTTTTCAGGCTACCTACAGACTTGACAGCTTATGATAATCGCCTTTGTGCTTCAATATATTTCTCATCTTCCACTTGGGTTACCCTTTCCGATGGAACAGGAAGACTCTATTTAATTAAATCGGGCAAGCGTGGAAACAGTGCATCTGAAAAGTGGGAAGTAAGTCTTGCAGTAAAAGTTTTAAGAACGGTACATCTGAAATAATTTTTACTCTTGCATTTTTTTGAGAGTTGCAGGTATGTAATACTATGAAGAGTTAAGCTTTAAATCATAACTCTGTACCGTTGATAAAGGGTTGTGTCCAAACACAAACTGTCCAGTGGATTAATAATTTCTTTACGTGCAAAATATCTGTAAAGTGCAAATGGTTGAAAGGGAACAGCCTTTTGATTGAATAAGAATCTCTCTTAATAAAAGTGAACCAGTTTCTAAGTAGGTGGTCAAGTGTTCTCCAGCAGAATTTTTTTTTAAGAACCAGTTCCCCTTTCCCTGTTCTTACGAGTCTGTCTAGGGTTTTCCCCCTCATCGCTGTTTATTGTGTATTAGTTCAACTCTCCAGTAGAATAAAAAAAATTGCCTGAAATTACCTTCAACCAAACTAAAAGCTGGTTTTGTTCTCAAGTTAGGTGATTTGTAGATGGCATAATGTTTGTCTGTGCTGGTGTAATGGTGCTTGAAATATTGAACGTTTAGTTTGCCCCAATTTAAAATGTGTCCAAAGGAACTAGAATAAATCATAAAACACAATTGTTGATGAGAAAGCTTTGATAAGGAGCTCTAGGGATTATCTAGGCCTGTACTAAGCACAGGTAATGTAAGCAACAGTATTTCCAGGACTTTTTTCTGATGAAAATTTTCATGCTGTGTGCTTAGCTTTGGAAAATTACTGGTGCTTAATATCTTCACTTAAAACTATCAGTTGTCCATATCAAAGTGATCTTATTAATACTGATAATGGTATTGGTTATCCTGCTTGGATAAAGTAAATGTAATTAAGTTATGGTTGTTTATACCTAATCTATTATGAATTTTTTGGTCTGTGGTCACTGCCTCTGTTTTTGTGAAGGAGGAACCTAGTGTAGGGCTCTCATATTTGGTATGCAATTTTTTCCTAAGTTTCCTAAGCGGTAAAGGAGTTTTCAGCATTGGCGGGAACTCAAATTTCTGTCCTGATATGGAAGACTTCAGCATGAGGGAGCAGCACTTCCCTTACATCTTTTGAAAGTTCACTTACTAGGGAACCAGTCGTGTTCTTTAGTTGGATTTGGTGATTGGTAGTAAATACCACCTGTTTTTTATTCTGTTCTACGTGACAGTACTGATCCATAAGAAGTCAAGCTGCAACAAGAGCTGTCTGTGTAACAAAAACATGAAATTTCCATACTGAAGGTCTGTCACCACTCTAAATTTGCCTTTTGAGAACTTAAACCGTACCTTGATTGCCCAATGGTTTACAGTGATGGTTCACCCCACAGATTTCAGTTTTCAGTAACACCAGCTAGATTGAGCTTATGCTCATTCAGGCACTGCAACTTGAATTCCTTTTCACTTATTCTTTGATGTTCAAATATTAATAGTGTAGCAGATGAAGAATGTTTTATTATTTCTTATCCTCTGTTGTTCGGATTTTTTTTTAGCATCTTGAGGTTTTTGCTGAATGAGTGCTTTTTGAGAGAAGCTGAAATGCAAAGTTTCTAGAATTAAAACTTCCAGCTATAGATACCTAGTGCTGAATATCTGAAGTTAGAAGACTTGCAGCCCTTCTGTATGACGTGATTCCATGTTTACGGTGGTGCCTAGTAACCTTTTAATCTAACAGTGTTATTTACCAAATCGGCATATCTAGTCTCATCCAAATTGGAATGGACTTTTCCAAACCCTCTACATAAAAATTCAAAATATTCTAACTCTAGCACCTCCTGAACCTGAATATCATACTTTTTCATTAATTGTGGGTTTTTGTTTGTTACTATCTTTCATCAAACTTTTTAGAAAAGAAAGTTTGAATCCCTTTTAAAGGTATTGGCTGAATCAGGAAATGTGATTCCTCACCCTGTGTCAAGGTCTACAGAGACTCTCAGGATGGTGAGATGCCTAGGGAGCATCCTCTGTGCAACATCTACATTTTCGTCTTGAGTGCAAAACTGCTTTCCCCAGTTGATGTGCTGTCTTTACAGATCTTGGTCTGTTCATCAGTTGTTGTTCCTCTGCGTACTGTAGTACTAAACAGTCATAATGCTGATATTGCTGTGGCTCTTTGCGTAATGGGCCCTTTTGATGATTTTTGTAATACAAAGAGTAATAAAAGCATTTCAGAGCACTATCTTGATAGCCAAGGAAAAAGGAACCAGAAATGGATGACCCTCGTTGCATATTGGCAGAGGGGTTTGAGGAAAGCAAACTTTCAGTGCTTTGACGTTCAATCAAGACTTTCATTGCTTTCTGAGGAACAGAAAGTAGCAAAATCGTCTCATTTTGACTGACTGACTTTTTACAACTTTCTGTCTTCTAGATTGTGTTTAATGAAGAGCTAGGCAGTCCATTTACTATAGCACACAGTGTTTCATTTGTAAAATCTGATATACATTCAGTAGCTGTGCTGTTGCTTAGAGTAGAAAAAGATGAACTGGACACAAAAGGAAGTGGATTTCATATTTCCCTGGAATGGGTTACAATTGCAGAGATGAGCAAAGAGGGTAAGTGTTTTAGTGGTGGGTAATGTGAATAAATTTCAATCATGCTTTCATTCTCAGCCCTAAGAGTTGTTCATTTCTCAGTTTCTGTCCCCTAAAACTGTAATGAAGGTTTTTCTGTAGGTAATTTTTTCTTCTATTCTGAGATAAAGTTGTGAGTTACAGACCTACATTATGACAAATATTTTGAAGCCAGGAAGAAGTAAATTCATACATGTGTATGCTTAAGGTAATTAGAAGACAAGATAAGAACTTGATTTTATGATACTATGATGTGTAACTTCATCTGGTAAAAACAAGATTATACAAACCTAATTCTAATAAATGTTTGTTGTACTTCTCAAACATTATATAATTGGATATATATAATTCGATATATATATTTTTATTCTCTAACAGTGGCCTGGAACTGGAATTAGTATGTTACAAGTATAAGAATTGTAACATAGAAAGTGAATAATAGATGTTCTAGCTTTTCCCACAATAAAATAGTGTGAAGGCATCCCATTAATTTTAGATCAACACATTAATAATGTTAACTAGTGCATTAAGACCTATTAATATATTGTCCTAATAAGATCTGGCAAAGAGTAATTTAGCTGTTCAATATGACCATTTACATTAAATGTAATAGTTTTCCTAAGGAATATAGGAGCTTCTGTTTCAGAATATGATTTAAAGATTTGTGAATTAAAGTAATTTACCCTTTTAGGGAAGACTGTGATGTGATCTCTTTCATTATCTTCCAAAAAATCTGCTTTGGTTACTGATAAAAACAAGATCTATAGCTATTTGTATTAAAGTAGTTAATTGCATATTGAGATGTTACTGTCAAAATGTTGCTTGGCCTCCTGCATGTACCATATGAATAGGAGATTGCGGAGAGGCTTTGTTCTCATAATCTGCTTTAGAAACCTGGGGCAATGGAAATTCTTGTAAAAGAGCAAGAAATCCACATGGGATTATCTTAGGCTTTTGTGGCCAGCTTGGCAGGAGAAACCTCTGAATGTTACTAGATATATCTTGTAAGAAAAATTAAGCTGGCGATACTGACAGTCTAGAATTTAAGACCAAAGCTTAGAGAGAGCACTAACACAAACTCAAATATTATGCTTTGCAAGTAGTATGGTTTTTGTTTTTTTTCCTACCATGATAATCTGGTGTTGTCTAATGTCTGCTAATAAATTCCCTTTTTTTTTTTCTCAGTTATGTTCTGGTTAGAAGGACAGTAAGCTCCTCTAACGAAGAGATTAAACATATATTTGAATTACTGTAAATAATTCCTAGAGTTAATTTATTTTATCATCTGTGAGAATTTTAACACATTTTTAGTTATTTGCTGAAAATTTGTTGTTTGTATAATCTCTTGTTATTACAAATTGACTACTGAGAACTCCTCGCACAGTTAGATTCTAATGAAAAAAGAAGAACTTGTCACCTTGCGTATGTTTTAAGTCATTAATGCTTGTGGATTTGGGAGCACAGTGCAGAAAGGCGTGAACCTTGAGGCCAGGGATTTACAACCAGGACACCTCCTTTGAAGGCTCCTGTTTTACAGAAGGTGAAGAAATGGACGTTTTCCATTGTGCATAAAGTGTGAATACAAGCCATTTCAGTGTTTCTCAAGTTTGTACTGCAACTCCAAAAGTGTTTGGAACAGAGTTTTTTGTAGAGGAGCTGTAAATGGTTGTGTGAATTGCTGGATTAGGTGTGAGTGAAGAGGACCTTGTAAGAAAAAAAGACAATGTTTAGATTAATTTAGGATCTGTGTACATAACAAACCGTGGCTAAAAAACATAAAAGAAATTTCTTTTTGAACTACATTACTGTGATTTAACTGGTAGGATTTCATAGTTTTAAGTGTAATGGGTTTATTTTATAATAATTCTTCTCCTCTAGAAAAATATTACTCTTCAGAGATATTTTTGGTCTTTTCATTTTATAGGTGATCATAGATATGAGATCTTCAAAAGGAGAGTTTTACAAGGAAAATCAGTCCCTCATTATGCAGCAATAGAACCAAGTGGGGATGGTTTAATGATTCTCTCCTACAAACCATTCAAATTTATGCAACATGAGGAAGACAAGTTAGAAGAAAATGTTGATGGAAAAGTAACAAATGAAAAGAAAGGTAAAACTTAGCTGGCGGATTTTGACAGGCTGCTTTTTCTGTTTTGACTAAATAAATAGCTCATGAGTTTAGCCTCTATTCAGAAACTTTAGCAGTGAATGTTTATCTTAGCATCTACTTTCCAGAAAAAGTGAAGAAGAAAAAAAAAAAAAGTCAAGTTGGTGTCTTTAAGACATTTATTTTCTTCCTTGGAAGCTGTATTGTGCATAAACCTATTTGAGAAGTTTTTCTGGATGGGAGACACAAGCATACATGTTTCCTTAGGATAAAGAATATTTTGAAAACAGAGCTATAATAAGGATCTGCTAGAAGGTGAGTTGCTGAGAAAGGTAGTCCTGCTACCTAAATTTAGGCATCTAGCTCAGTCTTCCTAGATGAGTCAGGGGAGTGTGAGGCAACGTAGCGTCCTCCAGAAAGCTCTCTTATGTGTCCATTACTCAAACTTTTTTTTTTTTTTTTTCCCAAAAAGCCAATTTTAGGAGTGGAAATCGTATAAAAGGTTATCTCTACTCTAGCAGGAAACTAATTCAGAAAGATTAATAAACTTTGGCAAGAGACATCTATAGTTTTCTTTGCTGGGATCAAAACAAAATGAAGTGAATAAAAACCTATTAAAAATGCAAACAACCCTTAGCGTATTTATCCAGTTACATTGTGTTGTTATTTCAGATTTGACTTTTCCTTCTGAATATAAGAAATCAATTAATAAAGTAGTCTTAACTGAATGATACTAGCACAATCCGTGTCCATGGTACAAAAATCTCTTAGGAAAACAGTGCAAAACAATCACAGTTTTGACGAGAACGTACTAATATATTCTGTGCTGTGGTATTGTACATATAATTGCATTATAATTGTATTAAGGATAGTCTGTGTTTATGAATCTTGACAAAGCAAAGTAGTTCTTTGGTGCAGTGAACACCATGGTGCAATGTCTACGCTATTGTCACTTGAATTAGCTAGTTCAAGGCTGAGGGGTTTTAAGAGCTTCTCTGCTTGTGTACTAGGTATGTTTAAAGGAGAAACTCAATAAGGAGTATTATATGGCTCTTGGCATAGTTCATTTCATGCATATGTGGAAATATGATGCTGCCAAAGCCTAGAAAGACTGTCTCTAACTGGGTGGAGTACTTTTGGTAGCAATATCTTTTCTGCTGTTGCAAGAATCTAATGACAGTGAAAGTACTGAAACCTGAACTCCTAGTTAGAGGAAAGTGTAATACTCGTAGTGAGAATTTGTCTTCTGAGAAGCCCAATCTGGGCCATAGTTTTAGTTGCATGTTTATTTAAAATTGGAGGTAAAATAAATAAATAGTGAAACAAGATGTGCTGGCAATGGAACTCTCATTTTTTATAGGTATTTGCAACGATGTGTGAAGATGTATTAATTTGGTTATGTTGCACACCAGTACTTTGGCTTTTTCTTGACACGTGTTCCACACATACTTGACAATTTGTAAGAAGGCCGTCTTGATGACAGCTTAGGGAAAAAAATCTAATTTTTTTTTTTGTATGGTCCTCTGTTCTTACAAACTAGAATTTTTTAATATCAAATACAGTCCACGTCAGAGTTTAGAATTGTGAAGGCTGTTGCATCTCTTAAGTTGATAGTTTTTGGGGAGTATATATGTAGCATCTGTGACTGATCCATTACAAACAGGAAACTCATGGTAACAAGCAACCTTGCAACAGTCCTTCAAGAGTCCCTGTTGCTGACATCAAGCTTTGATCAACTAAATCTCGTGTTGTGTTTTGACAATTTGAGAGCTTCCAAAACATTTCAAAGACAGATTCCATCCGTATTGCTTTAGTTCTCGTCTAAATAGAAAGTTAAGATGTAAAAGACTGCTCTTCAGAAAATGAATACATCTGCAGTAATGTTTTGGTGACTAGCAGTGCACGGCCCAATCATGCTGTCAGAGCATTCCTTTTGTACTTACGTATAAATACTTTATAACTTATTTTGAAAGATCAGTTCTTTCAGCCGTTTAATAGCTGAGATGGACGTTATGCGGGTTCTGGAACGAGGAGAGAATGTAAAGCGTTGCCTCTAGGCCAGCAGTTCTATTTCAGCTCCTTCAGCGAAGGCAAACACAGACTACTTGCTCTCCTAGGACCATTTCTGTTGAATGGTCGTTATAGCTTCTAGTAAAAGAGCTGAGGAAAAAATATTTGTGTTTCTGAATGGCAAATACTTCTCAGCTCACAGCAGCTTGTCAATATCGCTACATCCAGTTATGGTTTTATTGTAGAGGTATATTTTGTAACTCATTGCCCGAGTAGGTGCTAGAAAGTTGCCTCTGTGTACTACAATTCTTTAAGCCATCCAATGCCAGAATCTTCCAGTCCTTCTGTTATCAGTGCCTTCAGTAATAATGATCAGAAGTAGAGTATTTGCGTAAAACTTCATTCATGAAATGTAAATTCCTCTGTTTGCCAATGAATGCCTTGGTGATATTGGCGGTAAGTATAGGCCATAAAATACATGGAAGACTTGCTCTTCTGCCGTACTGGTATAGAGAGATCTTGATGCCTTTATGTTTCCTAATGCAATGTTAAGGCATTACAAAGGACTTTCACATAAGCATTGCATAAGTGGAGAACAGTTTGACTTTTATGCAAATTGTGGTGATGGCTATTCCAAGGTCTGCAGACTGTGAAGACATCTTTCATCCTTTAAGAAAGGAGTATGCGCCCTGTCCCCACAGCAAATGTGTGCAAGGTCCAAAACAGACTCTGCAAGGGCCAAGTTCTCTGCTTTAGAGAGCCTCTCTTGTTGCCTACTTACCTGCTTTCCCAGAAAGCAGAGTACAAATAATTTGCCTTGGCATCCTTGCTTTAGGATCTGATCAGTCTATTAGCATAGCTTCCAGTACTGTTTTCGGTGAAGTCTTTATGTGGCTTTGCATGCAGAGAGACAAATACTGTGCCCCTTAGAGCTTGAATGCTGACCACGTAATGGGTATGCACAGGAACCTTCCCACGGAGGTACAGAATATGCTTAGAGAAAATACGGCTTTTCTTAAGTTGCTTGTATCTTCCTGTGTGTCCTCTCTCTATTTGAAGGCCATAGTTTTCTTGTGCAAAATAGCTGTTAAGTACTTCGAGAACTTTTTTGTTTGAAGGGAAAGCCAATTTGATATTTCTTCTTCTTAAAACTTGAATCTGAAGTTGTCTAACAACGCTTGGCTGTCAAGATTTTTAGCTATCCGTTGTAAGTGAGATTAAATTTGTATATCAGGGTCTTTTTTTATGTGTTATTGCACAAGGAAAAGTTAGCGTTAAGAATCTTCCCAGGAATCATAGGCAGCATGATCTCTATCCTACTGCCAATTTTCTTTTTCCAGTTATGTAAAAATAGGATTAAACTAGACTATCAGGCAGAAGCTAAATGTAGCACTTTTAACATCTGGTTATTCCTGTGTCTTTTTTTTTTTTTTTTTTTTTTTTTTTTTTTTTTTTTTTTCCTGGATTGATTAAGAGTGTCAGATACAGATTACCTGGAGGCATACTGAAAAAGAGAAAGGAATTGCAGAACACAGCCATTGAGTTTCTGGGAGACTGTGATTTATATTTGCTGTTTGTGCAATCCTCCTTTTCTGAACATTTAGTATAGAAACTAAAATGCTATTGTGGTCATTTTATTCTTACTGTCCTCTGTTATGAGATATGAGAGGGTAAACAGGAAGTAGCCATAATCCTGGCAGGAAAGACTGTACAGGAAGGTGTGGAGTCTGTCTGTGCCTGTAGAACACACATGCAGCGTATGTCATAAATCACAAATACCCTAGATTAATTCCAAATTTTTGGAAAGGCAATTTGGAACATGCCAAACCTTTTTAATTCTGTAACACGTTGGTACATTTAAATACATTTTTGTTACCAATTTCATTATGTTACAATAATTTTAGAATGATATTTAATGTATATTGTGTAACTCTATCCACACATTTGAGTGCGGACGTAAATTAGTGTCCCTTGTGTGGACAACAATGAAGTCAATTGCTAAAAAATTGTTTCTCCGTTATATAGGCAGAATAACTTTTATGGACATTGATCGGAGTTAACTTCCATTCTTCCTCAAATTTCCCTATATCTCCCGGCATTGCATGCTGTAGAATCCAAGGTAGTATTTGTAATCTGCTTTGTGTTTTTCTGTACATTTCCAGTTGTAGACCCTCTCTATTACTGGCAGCAGACTGAAGATGACTTGACGATAACAGTTCACATTCCTCAAGATATCGTTAAGGATGACATAAAAGTACAGTTTTCTCCTAATAACATATGTGTTACACTGAAAGACCAGCCTCCTTTGATGGAAGGAACCCTCTATTCATCTGTGGACCATGAAAGCTGCACGTGGATAATTAGAGAGAACAAAAGGTGTTGTATATGTTTTGTATATGTATATGTTTTTACTTTTACCACTGACAGGAACTGATTTGAAAATTGAAAGGGATGATCACCGTATCTCTTGACTTCTGGCGTCTCTGGGAATGGACTCATTTAATGCTAGACTCCACATCCCTCCTTGCAAGGATAAGAGGAACAGCAGTTGTTTTTTAGAATGTTATTTCTTTAGCTAACCATAAAAGTAATCCCCTCTTACAGTTACTTGATTATAAGCTATATAACCAGCTGTTTTCTGCAGTAGAGAACAGCATTTTCAAACTACTAATTCTTTTAATTTATTTTAATTCCTCTTACTTAAAATGAAAAGGCATTGTGTGTACCTCTGTGTGTCCTGACAACTATCCCTATATCTGACCATCAAATGCAAGACTTTGTTGCTGAGCTCTTAAGCAGAGTTCTTACCAATGTATCCTAATGTTACAATTTTTAATTATAACCTTCTCATACTGTTTTCATGTGTTTTGCCGACATTTATTGGCAGCCAGAGTTAATGTGGTCTTTTAAAGTTTTCCGTTGCCTATCCAAAATAATAATTTACGGTGTGAGCTACTGGAGATTTGTCCCTGTGCATACATATAGTACTACCTGCTTTTATTCTCTCTGAGAAGAATCTTTTCTACTCGCTTCTGGTTGGTCATGCTACAAAAGTGAATAGGTAAACCACTAAGTGACTTTGATAAAGACAGTTTATGATATGATATAGGTTTTTTTTTTTTTTAATGAAATAGTTTTTCCTGAAATTTTAGGGCTGATTAGCCTGATTTCTACCCTGTGGCTTGTGTTAATCATTTCTCTTCTACTTCTGCTTTCCACAAACAGAAGCTTTTGATTTTCTACTAGTGTAACAGATAAATTCTTCAGTCTGGTTTAATTACAAATTTCTTATTATTTTTCTCATTCGTGTGCACGATGCAAAATAATTCTGTGTGAACTTATGCTGTAGACCTCAACTAGATAATGTTCAAGGTTTTATTCAAGAAGCAAGTGTGAGTAGTTATTTGTCATTTTTTTTCGTCATTCTTTTTTTTCTTTCAAAAATGAAAACACCAAAAAATAAAAGATAGAATTCAGGATTCCCTAAACCTTAGTCAAATTTACTTTTTCATTCCAAAAATTGTTAATTCTAGAATTTTAATTTTCTGGTAGAGTTTTACCAACTAGTGTTAGATATTTTAATTTAGCTTTCTGCATGCATTCTTTATATTGTTATTAGACCATTTTCTTTGCGGCAATTAAAAGGTGCAGTGGTCACATATATGCACTATATGTTTAGTTCTACCTTGTAGGACTAAATTAAGAGCGTTGAATGCTTATGTATAATGCTGCTGAACATATTGGTCTTGATCCTGCTACTGAAAAGAGGCTTTGGAAGTTTCTGCTCATCTTTCGCAGCTGCACTTCCCATTGTGCTACTTGCTAGAACTGAAGCACCATCTCAGTGGTTCAAAGGAAGACTTCAGTACTGCCAAATGAAATGCCCTGTGAGCGCTATGAAGAACAAGTAGTCGTTTCACACTTAATAATCTTGTTCATCTTTTTTTTTTTTTTTTTTTTTACCCTAAGCCTGTATTATTTTGAAAAATCTGTATTATTTTGAAAAATACTTTGGAATTTTTACAACTTCTTGTCAGTTATACTAGTGGTTTGGTTTTGTTTTGTTGTGGGGGCCAGGGGTGGGTGTTGAAAGTCCAGAAAATAGAAGGTAAAACATTTTATTTTTAGGAGCTTTGGGATCACATCTTAAATACTTCCCAAACTTTGGAAAGTTCATACATTTTAGACTCTTAAGTTAGTGCCTCATTTATTTAACTGAGGAACATGCATCACTTATCTGAAAGTCTAATGCAGAGCTCTTAGAATTTCACATTGGGACTTGTGCACAAGTCCACGGCTATCAAATTCTGATAGATGTAATCTTGCCACAAGATAGAGTCGTCCAGAATCCTCAGGTATTCATTGTAATATGTATGAATCTAGCCACACAAATGTTTATTATTTACAAGTAAAGTATTCTAACTAATTCTAGCCTTCTATAAAGCTGATATTTATTGTAGCCTTAGATAATATCCCACCTTTTATAATTAATTTGTGATCAGAAGAGGAGTTCAGGGTAGTAGGTACACCAAAATGCAGATAGTTTAATAAGAATGAACTTAGATGGATGTTTTTCATTGTTTGTTACAGTATTAAATTTCTGGGGTTTATTTATTTATTTTTAATTTAATAAAGGCCATATTAGGCTTCAGGTTGAAAAGTTAACCTTTTTAAATGGCTACCTTTAGTACCCTTTTTAAGCTGTAAGAGGTATTTGTTCTGGTTCACTTGAAAAAGTGAACCTTGAGAAACTGGGAAGTTTTTAAAGATGCACAAAAGGTACAACTTTCTATTTGTTTTATTTTCTTAAATTTTTCAGAAGATTATTCTACCTTTAGTGAACTGAACTGAGAAGTTAGGCTACTAGTGGGAATCGTGATAAGAAAATAAGATACAAATTGCAAGAGGCGGATGGGTGAAATTGTGACAGAATAGTATAAAACAAAAAGAAGACAAATAATTCCCTTTTAGGGTTAATTCTATTCTGGAAGAGTCTTATGACTTTATTCATGAAAGAAGGAAGGGAAAAAATGTTGCTTATCTCTGAAATTGTAGCAACGAGCACTTAAGATTTGGTTTTTTTAATGCTATTTGTCAATAACTCATGAAGAAACCAAATACTGCTGTGAGGCAGGTACGTGCAGTTTTCACTCAACTATTAGTCTTTATGAACCTTCATTTTCTGATGAAGCAGATACCTCTACAGAAAAACATGACAATACCATGTAATTAAATCTTGATTTCTCCCACCTTTGTTTTCAGACCAAATAAGACTATGCCTGGAGTGATCTACTCCTATTTTGTGTAGTTCTGTGACATGTAATCGTGGTTGGAGACTGGAAGCACGTTGTGTTGAGCTGTCTGTAAATGCAGAACCACAGGCTCAGTCTTGAACCAAAGACATGATTTAGACTTAAGATAGGGAATGGGGGAAAGTATACCAGCTGATGGGTGAAATGTAAGGAAATGAGACAATATGTAAAACTGTGCTATGAGTTTCATTCCTCAAATGTGGTTCATAATGGAATTTGTGTTAGGTCTTCTACAAGTATAAGAAAAGCAATGAGATGTGCCAGTATATCATACATATTTGGACATTTACTGCTTTTGCTTTCTCCTAGGATAAAGTAATGAGCCACTATTTATTGAAACAAGCAGGTTTGGTTAAATGGTTGCTTAAAGATTAATTTCCGGGTATGGTATCATCATGTGAAACAATTAAGAAGAGAGGAGTTGTTTCTATGGAAATAGAGGTATTTCCTTTCAATTAGATAAAATAAAGTTGTATCACTGGGAAAATTTTGCACTTACTCTGTGATAAAGAAGGGCACAAATGCAGCAAAACGTGAATTTACCTACAACACTAAACATTTATTTTATTGAGTACAACAAACATGCTAAATTTAAGGATCAAGAGATTTTTTTCTATTAAGGAAGTTCCTAGTTTATTAATGGCAACAGTATACCTCCTGGACATGGGGAAAAACTTGCATTAGTTGTGTCAGTTTCCAAGGAATTCTGAAATGTCTTCTGTTGGTCACTACTTAGCCTCTTGTTTTTTTTAGTGCTCTTAAAATCTAATATGGTTTTACTTTTGCAGCACTGAAGTTCTGAAAAATACAGAGATTAATGAAAATTGTGACCGAGTACCAAATGCAGTGTTTTTTAATTGCACTACAATCCCCTTTGCCTTTCAACAAAGAAACTAAACTTGTCAGTGAAAGACTTTGAATTCTTATTTATTGACCTTTTTTACTTTTTGAGCTTTCTTTGATTAACAATCGCCAAATATTTGCTCCAAAAAAAAAAAAGACAATTGATAGACATTCCAAATAATGTAGTACTGCAAAACTGTCGTTTTTGCTGTGCATCTAGCACAGAATATGATTCTGTTAGAGGCAGTGATTTCTTCTAAAGAGAAAGCGTCCCCTTGAGCATGCACTTTTCTTGGAAATCTTGCTTTTGATACCAGTGATTTGAGACTGGATTCTTTGCAAAAGAATCTTTCAGTCTATCTTCTTAGCTTTGCCTTGTAATCAGCGTTCTCTCTTGTTTTTACCTTTTTTCCTGTAGATTTATTACTATTTTTACAGTTTAGTTTTTCTGAATACAATATATTGTAATCAAGCTTACAGGCAAATTATTTTTTACTGTTTACCAGATAATGTCTTAGAGCAGGGCGAGTGGTTTCATTAATCTCCTTCCCTTTTCAGTACCAAATATGTGATTTACAACAGTGTATACACTTTAATATTCTGTCTGAAAGCCCCAGATCAACAGGTTATTTCAATGTATGTGTAGGGTTTTTTTTGTGTAGTTTTAGGCTGTCCTTAGGTCTCCATTAGGCACGTTTGGCGCACATCTGCAGAGCTTGCGGTTTAGTTTCCTCTGAAAGGTTTTGAGATGCACAGACTTTCATTCTGTAAACCATAATCAGCATGCAGTAAGTGGGGAGAATACAGGTTTGTTTCAGAGGCACAGTAATGTTTCCAGCCATAACGTTAAGGAAAATATGGCCATCTGCACAGAGATTTTGAGAAGACTCAGTGAGAATTCTGTGTATATAGACTTTATGTTAAGTGCAGCTTTTTGACACTGTCAGGTCTGAGTATCAAGTACCAAAAAGAAAAGAACAACTGATGTTTTCAAATTATGACTTTTAAATACATATATTTTTCCCCATGATTTCCCAGGTGTGGAAATAGGAGAGAAGGTGGTTGTGCGTTTGAGATGTTATGTCTCCTGATAGTTTTGCTTATTGCTGCGTATGTGATACATACGGTAGAAGTTACTCATTCCGTTATGTTGTTTTAAAATACAAAATATCAAAAGAGCATAGTACTGACTTTGGGCTGCTTAAATAAGCTTGATGTCAGTATTACATTAATGCATTGTTTGAACTTCTATGTGAAGTATATAGGTGTACACTTTATGAGACTTGGAGACTTAAACCAGACTGAAGTCTGATTACATATTGTAATAAAAGAACTAGCATGACATTTTCTGCAAGACATTTCCAATTGAAATTTTGTATAGTTTTTTTTTGATAAATGTGTTTTCATTGGGAATATCCACATCAAAAATTTTGTCTTTTTTTTCAGAAAGTAGCTCCATAAAACATAAAATAAGCTTTTGGAGAATAATTTTGAATAGTAGGTTATACTAGTATAATATATTAAAATACAATATTTCAGTTGTTGGGTATTATATTCCTGTGGCAAATAACTTGGAGGTTTTAAGCTAATTACCAAGTGGATAACCGAGCATGAATCTCAGGCTGCTATTTTAATGCAAAAGGTATGATCCATAAATAATAATTACCGATTTAGATGTAGTAAGTTGCACTTAGTTCTTAATGTTAATACTGCAGTACCACTTAAAATCTACTGAACAAAAATCTCAAACACATTACAAATATCTTTTATAAAATTATGCTACTTCTAATGCCAATTTAACTGCTTTAGTTAATAAATGACAGTGATTTAGAGTTCATCAAATAGTTATTGCTATGATGCAGTAGGTAGTAACTTAGCAGGTTTTCCTACTCTGTCGGCTAAAAAAATTGACGTTATAGAGCTTGCTGAAAGTGCATTTAATAAATTTAACTCTCACTGCATCGTTGCACGCATATGTAGGTCTAATGCAGCAATTACCAGGAACGATGGTATTGGTGCATCAGGTTATAAGTCCCTAGATTTTTTTTTTTTTTTAAGTTATGAGTTTTATTTTTAAATTCTCTTTTTTACAGGTTACAGAAATTAAACCTCTTCTGAAATATAACTTCAGGTGTACAGTGTAGGTAACTAACTGTGTTGCAGTATTTTTGAGGGGTATCAAACACAAATATTTTTGCCCTAGATGATGTACAAAGCTAGTGCACACTGAAGCAGCCATACCATTAAGTACTTAATAGGTTTCAAATAAACCTTTGTAGTGAAACTGAGTGTGCCTTTGAATAGGTTTCTTAACAAGAGCTCTTCTACAGTAATTAAAGTATTTTAATAACTCCTTCAGATGAAACCTCATTTAAATTGAAAACGCTGAGGACTTTTATATGAATACATTTTTATGGTGTTTAGGCATTTAGAGATCACTTGTCCTTAATCTGATTTACTTTAGAATATTCTCCTTTACAACAGTTTATTTGGTGAATTAAATCCTAATAGTTGCTGTTATGTTTTTCCTGTTGTTAATTCAGCTTGGAGCGAAGTGTTCAAATCTACATTTAGAGCTTTTGACTGTCATCTTGAGAAAAAGATGCAAGATTTTCATCTACTTTTCTTTCCATCTCCTGTTTGCGTTTTAGTTTGGAAATTTCTCTAATTAAGAAAAGTGAGGGACCCCAGTGGCCAGAGCTAATAGTTGGTGACACAAGAGGGGAATTCATTATGGATCCTTCCCAACGCTCTGCGATGGCTGAGTGCCTGATGCATCTTACCTCTGAAGTAATGGTAAGAAATTGAAAGTAAAACATTCAAACTTCTTGCAGGTTTGCGCGTTGTCTTTTCTTGATATTCTGACTCCCACTTCATTGACGTGACACAGCTTTTCAGTTGTTTACTGTTCAGAATACTAATGCTGCCTTCCTTTTTAACTGAAATTGTTGACAAACAATAATGGCGCTAGAGAGTTGTGAATAAACTCTGAGCTGGAATAATATCTTCGTGAGCAGCTGAATTGATCTTAGATGATAGTGTCTGTGCAACAACAGTCTGATTAAATGTTGAAAATAAATTTCATTCCCATCACTTAAGATCTGGCAGTTTTCAAACAGTTCAGTGTTTTTGAACAATGTCTCTTTCTTGTGATGCCTTTTGATAAAGCAAGATTGTGTATCAGAAAGAATAACAAAAGCAAACAAAAGAATTATTCACATCCCTTAAACGTAAATACTGGACTGGCAAATTGCTAACCAAGATAAAAATTCAGTTCTCAAGTTTGGTTAATAGCCTTTTAGGTCAAAATGGGCTCCTGTGAAAATGTTATCTATTTAAGGTCTCTAAATCCTAAGAATGTCAACCAGGTGTTTTAGAAGGTCTTCTAATCCTGTTCTAAAAGAAAATAAATATATGTTACTGGGAGTGCTCCACAGCCTTTATTAATAAGTCTGCTATTGGTTAACTTTATGTAGTGTTAAATATGATTTGTTTCGATTCTGATTTTTTTTTTCTTCTCTTGTCTCCAAGCAGTGGATCTTTTTATATGTTTTTTTTTCTTCCTTTGTCTACAGTGTTTATTTACGTTGCTACTCCTTGCTTACAAACACAGAAACAACCACTAGGATTCCCCCTTGATCTTCTTTTTGTTTTGGTACATAGATTGAATGCTCCAATATCTTGTTATTTAATATGCTTTCCAATCCTCTTATTCTCTTGGCTGTCTCCTGAATCTTGGATTTTCATAAACTGTGAACATAAAATCTAAAGATGGTATTCCAGCAGTCATTGAACCTGTACCAAATTCAGGAATAGCAGGAAGTAGGTGTATATGTACCCATCAGCACTTACTATTTTTTAAGTCTGTTGTAATGTTTATAAACTGAAATATTTTAGCATGGGGTGAATTGTGAATGTTACCTATTATTTTCTGGTCACTGTAGTTAGTAGAAACTCTGAGCCAGTGTTTTAACTGTGTAGATACTTTGGAAGGATGAGTTTGACCTATTGAAAATGAAGAAGTTTCATTGAAATTACAAGCAGTGAGTTTTAAAGGTTGTTTATCAATAAGTTAGAAATATTTTTTTATTGCCTTCCTGGGGATACTGTACTTGGTTTATATTGACTGTGAGTGTAAATGAGATTTTTTTTTAAAGGAAAATTTAAGAAAACATAAGCATGAATTTTCTGGCATTTTTATTATACAGGGAGCCTTTGTTTAAAACAAAACAAAATAAAATGCCATTTTAACGGCTGCTTGCTTGATGCTTCCCCTTTTATTTTAATTAGAAAGTGGCATCTCATATAAAACCTTGTGAAGTGTGGCTCCCTATGGATCTTGATTTATTAGCTTTGGATTATTACTTTTTTGAAAGAGGCTGAAAGAAGTGTTATTCAAATAAATTCTATTTAGTGATTAAATTGATTTCCCCTCACCTCCAATCTGTAGGCGAGATATTGTAGTACATGTTTTGAAAGGTTTCATTAATAACTTTGAATTGCCTTTGAGTTACTTTTGCAACTCGTGTACTGATTTCTCCTTCTTTCCTCTCCCCCCCGACCCCCAGCTTTTAAGGTTGTGTGCAATTTTAGCATCTTTTAAGCATCTAAATAAACCTATGCCTTGGCAACTGTTCATTTGAGTAAATATTATTGTGATGCCTTTTGTTTTGTGCTATTTTGTTACAGTGGAACTTTGTCTACATGTGTATAGTAGAAACATAGGTTCTTTTTGATGTTATCAACTGCTTATGGTAATGCTGTTTACCTGGAATATATTTTTTTTTTTTTTAAACAACCCAACAGAACATTTTATTAAATTGATTCATTTAATTTTGGGGGCTGAATTCCATGGTTGATAGAAGGTTTATGTTTGTTTATAGATCATTATTGAGATATCCTTGTCAACAGTATAAATCAAACTTAAAATTTATAAGTGAGAGAGGAATTTTTAAATCCATGTATTTACAAACAAGTGATTCAGCCATTGAGAAATGGTTTTTTTTTGCACATGAAACTTGAAAAGACATGATAAACTAGTTATAATTTTAGTTTCTGTAATATCAATAAAGGTTAAATGTGATACTATTTGTGAGATGGTAGTGGTTCTTTTCCTCCCAGTAAACCAGAGGCCATAAAGAATGCTTAACAGAGAAGAGATGAACCCCTAAGTCTAGCCTCCCAAAAGACAAGCACTCTGCTTTGAGTCCTGTGTATTAGCCTACAATGTATGTCACTTAGCCTTTCCCGTTTCCTTTTTTTTTTTTTTTTCCTGTAGTCAGGTATAGGACATTTCTTTATATTATCTCTTCAAGTATGTGGGATTTTTTTTAGCTTAAATTGTCTTAGTGCTTAAAAGTTTTGTCCTACATTTCCTTTAGTTTGTGGCCTGAGCCAAAATAAAAGTTACTAATAATCAGAGTTGATGAAATGGATGAAGAAATGAGTGTATGACCTGAAGAACTCTTCCCTCCCAGACCAGTTGAATGTTAGTGCCCTGTCTTATTCTCCTTGTGCATTTGATCTCAACTTTCAGATTACGCTAGTTGTCAAGATGATGTCTTGTTTCTTTTATGCAGGAAGCACCATTAATTTAGAACGGATAAAGGAGGAGTACGCTTTTGCCTTCTGTTAAATAAACGTTGCTTTTCATTATTATCATGACATTGATTCATTAGATATACCAAAATGTAGCATAAGTTGCTTGTCATTACCAGAAATAATTTTCAAAACATCTCCTTTAAATCCATACAGTAGTGTTATGTCTTGATCTCAAATTATTAGTAGTAGTGATGTTTTTCCTTTCTTTGGCTTTTGGAATGACAAAATACAGGGGCACTTTTTTCTTGTTTTTAGAACATCGAGAAATATGCATAACACATTATTAATTTTAAGTGGTTATTAGTAAAGCTGAAAGGAAGAATGTATTTAGAGCTACTTATACAGTGAATGAATCCATTTTTTTCTAGCACTTCAATGACAATCTGTAAGAAACTTATTTTTATGTAAAGTTGCTTGACCTGTGTAGGTTTTGAGGATCATCTGCTCTTTCTACTTACAGAAGGGAATCTATTGTCCACGTTCTACTGGCTTATATTCCTTTCCTTAAGCTGAAATAGGTTTTATTGTACTTAGCACCCATGGCGTCCTTCACAAGAGAAGTGGTTGTATTCATTGCAGATAAGTGCATAATAGTTTGGATCTTTAAGTATGAAAGGATATGCAGATGATTACATTGTCACTCTTACTTTTCTATTAAACTTTTTTTGCTGTGGAAAGGAATTGATAAATATATTTTGAGTAGTTTGGATTTTCACTATATCTCGTTATCTTTTTGTTTCAGAATCCAAACCCAGACAAAGAAAACCCACCTTGTAATGCACAAGAACTAGAGGAATGTGATGCTTTTCTTGAAGATAGCGCAAGTTTGTGCAGATTTGATGGTGATACCTTGAAAGTTACTCATGTAGTAAGTGCTACAAAATACTACAAAAGTATTGTAAAATATGTTTTCAAATCTGAAAGTGGAGTTATTTTATCAGAACAAAAATCTATGCAAATTCTTGAAACGAAAGACAACCAAATTTCTTCTGTAATATAAAAATTGCAGTGACAACATAAATTATCAGGCAGTATATATAAATTATATATACAGATTATCAGCCAATATATATATATCCCTCATTATTGTTTTAATGTAAAATAAGGCTTTTATCTTGATTTTAAAAAAAATCTAAAATAATTTCACAAATGAGCCGTTCAGAAAAGCAGAGAAATTTCAGCACAGCTCCCAGAGGCAGCCAAGAGATGCAGCAGTTTGCGCAGTTCTTGCAGAAGGGCGCAAAGACAGGTCTGATAACGTTCTTCAAACCATCACAAATGTCCTCAGCAATGGTGGTGACCTGCCGCAGGCTCGGTCCCAATCAGCCATTGGAGCAGCTGTTCCTGCGATATCAGAGGCTTTGACCCAGACGGAGCTTTGGAAGCGGGACAAGACTCTGCAAGTCTTGGGCTGCAGGGACTACCTGGGGCTTCTTGGGGAAGCTGGGGCTGATGGTCATCTTACCTGCAGGAGGTGCACAGCGCCAGAGAGAATAAGGAAAATGGACCAGGACTTCTCTGAGACTCTGCAGCTTCAGGAGCCTGAACTTCCAACAGTAGTAGAGGGCAGGCAGAGTCAGTGCCTACTGGGTCAGAAGGTGGAAACTCTCCCAGTGGTGAAGGGCTGGAAGCTGATGACATCTGGCCCCAGGAGGAGGGCTCCTGCTCCACTGGAAAACCTGCAACTTCAGAATAGGTCCACTCCCCTTGTAGCTGACGGGGAGCTGGGAACACTCTCAAACAGAGCTTCTGTGCCAGCTGAACCTCCTCTACACAGGAGCACCAGGAGGAAGCAGTGAGCATTAGTGGTGGGAGACTCTTTGCTGCAGGGGATGGAGGCCCCCATCTGCCAGCCTGACCAGCCATCTAGGAAGGTTTGCTCCTTGCCGGAGCTCACTTTGGGGATGTCATGCAGAGGCTGCCAAGGCTTGTCGTGCCTTCGGATGACTACCTGCGACTGCTCTTCTATGTGGTCACCAACAGTACTGCCAGGGGAGACCTAGAGAGTATGAAATGTGACTGCTACTAATGGTCAAGGTCATGGGGGTCAGGTGATGTTCACCATCCTGCCAGTGAGGGGGAAGGGCCTCAGGAGGACTGAAGAGATCCTGCGGGTCAGCAGTTGGTTGCGCAGCTGGTGTTGACAACAGGATTTTGGTTTCTATGACCATGGGACCCTCTCCAAGGACTGACAACTGCTTGGAACAGATGGAATCCACTTGACAGAGTGGGGCAAAAATATATTTAACCACAGACTGGCCAACCTCGGAAGGAGGGAATTAAGCTAGAAATGATGGGGGAGGGGGAGAATGACCAATGAGCAGGTAAGGAAGTGATGGATGGAGTTAGCGACCAAAGGGTCTGGGGTGATATAAACAGAATGCACCTCTTAATCAACAAAATGTGTCTGAAGTGGAATCACCCAAGTGATAACACCAGCATGCCTCTCTGAAATGCCTGTACAGTAGTGCATGCAGCATGGGAAAATAACAGGAGGATGAGAAGTTTGTGCAATTACAGGACTATAATCTCATTGGGATCGCAGAGATGTGTTGGGATGGCTCACACAACTGGAGTGCTGCGCTGGGTGGATACAGGCTTTTTAGGAAGGACAGGCTGGGCAGGTGGGGAGTGAAGAGTTGCACTTGATGTGAGAGAGCAACTAAAATGAGCTCTGCCCGGGAACCAATGAGAGACATGAAGGTGAGAGCTTATGGGTCAGGATTAGCAGGTAGACAAGAGTGGGAGACGTAGTGGGTGTCTGTTACAAACTGCCTGATCAGAAAGAAGAAGTAGACGAGAGATTCTGCAGACAATTAGAAGAAGGTTCATTTTTGCAGGCCCTGCTCCTCATGGGGGACTTCAGCCACCTTTATACCTGGGCAACCTGCTGTAGGTGACCCTGCTTGAGCAAGGGGGTTGGACTAGATGATCTCCAGAAGTGTCCTCCAGCCCCGACTATTCTATGATTCAGAATAATGAGTATTATTATTAATGGTGTATTTTTGCAGTGACATAAAATTCCTGTAGATTACTTAGTTTACATTTTTCTCAGTAAGTTTTCAGATAGCCTGATGGGAGTGTTGCCCCTTTTTACTGAAGAGATGGAGCACAAGCTGCTTTTTTGTAATCTTCCTCTTTTGTCAATCACACTGTTGGAAATAACAGATTGTAATTGTAATACTTCAGTAAGAAGCTTGATCTGGCTTGTAAGTAATATACTCGACTAACAGTAAATTTTCATACAAAGTTATTTCTGTTGCATAAAGCAGGAAAGTAAATAATCACATGAGAGCATCACTGATTTTAAGTAGCTTGTTTGTTTGTTTGACTTTTTTTTCCCTCCTCCCGAAGATATCTGAGGTAGTGATGAAGTGCAGCACCAATGTCTCTTCATCACTACCTTGTGTCACTCAAAGTACAGATAGAAATTTGTGGTACAGAAGTTGTCATAGCTGCAGAAGACGACTCTGAATTAGTCTGCCAGTGTGAGGAAGGGTCTTAGACTGCCTAGGAAACGTGGCTTAGGGTGGAATTAGTGTTCTTGATTTCCCTTGTCCTCAGAAAAGCTCCAGAAGTCCTAAGGATGTGTCTTACAGATCTTGATTTGTTGTCTATTTAGTGATCTTTCACGCATTTCTAGTTTTGAAGAGATAAGTGCTTGCTATTTTGTTATATTTCAGAGTGTAGAAAGTACCGCGGTCTCGTATGTGTCATAAGCTTTTTATTTTCGCTTGCAAAATCACAACAAGCTCAATATCTTTGAAAACTAGTTTGCATTTTACTCTCTTTCATGATAACTAATTCCAAAAGTTGATTTATTTGGAAAATAAGCAATATTTAATTATTGTGAATGCAAAAATTCTCTTTTAAATAACATGTTTCTGTTCACATAAGAGAACTTGAACTGAACTAGGTTCTGAACTGATTCTGAACTTGAGCTGAGTGAGAAAGGATTCACCAGAATTTCTAGAAATGCTAAACTAGGTTGAAGTGAAATCTCAAACTTTTTTATTTATAAAACTGAAGAAATTCAATTGATCCTTTTGAACTCGTTTCGTAAAGTAAACCGGGCAAAGTCTTCCCCTCAAAATATTTGGACAATTTTAGAATTTAAAGAAATTCTTCAAAATAATTTTTTTTTCACCTCACATTTTGCATTTTTTTCATGAAAGTTTTGCTGGAAAATTCCAGAACAATAGTCTTAACTTAGGTGGATTCAAAGGGTTATTTAATTGCAATGAAAGAATTTATAGTGTCATCTTCATTGCTTTTTTTTCTCCTCAGAATAAATTTTTTTTCTTGATTTCATTTTTTGTCTGTTATAAAAGTAATCTTATTTCTAGTCGTTGAAAACATGCCATCAGTTGGGAAGACAGATAAAATTTTTAGCCTTTGGCATTTAATCAGTCCTAGTCAAATGTAATTGCTTTTTATTTCAGAATTCTTATGAATTGGTAGAGCCTGCCTTTCAAATATAAAAAGACCAAATATATAAACTAGAAGGAAAATAATATATATTTATATATGCTCATTTCAAATGCTAGCATGCTTCATCAAGAAAGTCTTCCATTTTGTGGATACAGCATGATAGGTAAGATTTATCAAAAGATAAAATCTGGGGCAAGATGGGAAGGAGAGCGTTTTACAGCAACTCAGTTCAATGAAGTACTGACCATTTTAATGTTTGGCATCACAAGCTCCTGAGCAGTGTTAATATCTTTTCAATGAAAATGGGAATCCTGGGATCCTTCTCCCAGCTATACATAGTCCTGTCCTTCCTTTTGTTTACACTGATCTGGTGTGCACTTTTATTAACTGGGAAACTACAAGGTTGAGATATCTTCCTTTTGGTAACAATGAGCTATTAAGTCGGCTCCCACTAGCTTGCTTATCTCCTCTTTATGTAGAGGAAGTGTGATTTTCTTTCATTCCATCATTAAGGCTTAAACACGCTTGGGGGCTTAGTGGGGACCTGATAACTTTCCAGTACCTACAAGGAGTTCATCAAAAAGATGGAGCCCAGCTGTTCAGTGACACATTGAGAAAAGACAAGAGAAAGTGGGAATAAGCTGAAACGGGAGGTTCAGACTGAGTATAAGAAATAACTTTCATGCCATGATTGTAGTGTGGACAGGTTGCTTAGCAAGGTTGTGCAGCCTCTGTCCTTGGAGGTTGTCAAGACTAGTCTGGAGAAAGACCTGAATAACTTGTCTAACCTCCTGCTGGTAGATGTATCTGGAGTATAGGGCTCTCTAGTAGGTCGTATAGTCTAGTGACTGTAAAGAGCTCTTAAAAATGACTAGAATAAAAATAATCCAAAAGCGTTAGAGTGAAAGGAGAAAAACTGTAGGTGAGAAATGTTAATGCATGTATATCCTGTTTTGAGCAGGGAGGTTGGACTACGTAACTTTCCTTGAGTTACCTTCCAACCTCAGTCTGTTCTGTGATTCTGGGGAGGTTTTTTTTTTGTGTGTGTTTTTGGAGTTTTCCCCCGCCTTGGAGGACGTAGGAACATGAGTGTTTCGGTGTTTTTTCAGCTTACAGCAATATATTTTCATGCTGATTTAGGGTTTTTTTGTCAAATTTTTTTTTTTGTTAGCAATTCAGCAGCTATCAGAATGCCTTCAGAGGTACAGCCAACACAGCTTTTCACCTTTTAAAGTGAAGCATTGTCATAAATATACTGTTGTATATGTCTTTTTGCTCTTAAGTTGGAGAGGACTTTGAAACGTCCTGAATCCTATTGAATTTAAGATCATGAAATATTTAAATAAAAACATTTCCCACCTTGAATTATAATTCAAGGATATAAATTTTCCTTGACGTTTTCTAATGTATTTCAAAGGCAGTGATCTAGCTGAAATAAATTCGATCGACAGCTAGCAGTCTTTGCCAAATATATTGCTGTACTATCCTGTTCTTGTGAGTGATAAAGTTGTCATTCGTCTTATCTAGCTCAAACACAGTAATTCAGCTTCTCCTATAGAGAATTATTAGCTTTTTACCCAATCTTTAAGGTGAGTTAATGATGATGAGATGAAAGATAGACTGCACTGAGTTTTGCTGCCAAGGGGAGAAGCTTTGCCAGTTGAAGTATGGACTAGTTAAAACACTACCTAGTTTTCGGCAGTGCTGGCAGTAGCATTTACAATATGAAATTTGCTCTCTATATTATTTCAATTAATTTGCATACTGCCATATACTTAAGTTCTATGTAAAGCATCCTGTTAAAACCAGTGACGGGTATGGATGACCGAATTGCACAAAAGTCAGTGGTTGGATGAATGCTGAAAGAGGTCTGAAGTATGAAGGGTTTCTGAGTGCTTGCATAGGGAAAACCCAGGCATCTTGTTTTGTAAAATTGGAATGGTTTACCGGAAGAGGGACTGCTTGTTTTTAGATGGAAGAGAGTACGCTCAGAAACTGTGGAGCAAGGAGAAAATGAGCAATGCACTAGGTACACCTAGGTATCCGAGTAGCTAATTTCAGTAGGTAATTCCAGCAAGAACTTGAGATTTGTAGGAGGAGGCATTTCTGGTTGATAGGTGGTTACGAAAACACGGCGAAAGAGCTTCACTTTATTTTCTCCTAGCTGACGTGTAACACTTCTTTCCCCTTACTCATGCACAGTACAGAAGCATGAGGCTGCCTTCTCAGTGGGTGTCAGAATGACCTCTGTTAACTAAAACTGCATGCCGTTCTGTGAGCTATATCATGCTTACGTCTGACCTATAGGAATGTTGGAGGCATGTCACACATTTCTGCTCCAAGAACAACTTGCTTTTGTTACCTGGGAGTTGGGAGAATGAGTGACAAACTGAGTTGCATAGCTTGTCCTAAAAACTGTAATAGATCCCTACAAAGTAGACACATGAAGAATCACTGTAAATGCTTAATCGAATTACAGAATGATGCTCTTGCATATATTTCTCTTCTGAATATTTGTACATAAGCGGTAGCTAGAACAAATTATTTGCAAATATATTGAAAAAATGCATTAATTTTTTAACACTTTTTTTAGTGCTGATCAATAAAGGTTTTCCTGTGACGACTTTCAGGGTTTTTTTCTTGCTGCCTCTGGGCTCAGAAGGCTATTCTGACTTTTTTGATCCTTTTCTTAGGACTGATTTTTAACATCTAGTCCCGTACTGCAAAGACCACAATAAAGAGGTAATATATGAGAAGTACAAACTCATTCCCTTTCTCAAGTCATGTTCTCCCTTATTCTACCTCTTTATGTGCCTCTCAGAGATGTCTGCTCCACATGCCTCTGTCAGTGTTCTCTCTCCTGCTGATTTTCTGCATTTGTCAGATGTTAGAGTTTAACGGACTAGGATTTTGCATTTGTACTCTGCATTTTGCTCATCATACTGTAACAATACAGTAGCTTCCTCCTGCTTCCTGACTTAGTTTCCATAAGGCAGCTTATTCATGGAGCTCTTGACATCATCTTTACCAGGCTTTTGCCTCTTAGGTGCTTGAATATTAGTAATGCTCATTTCTTGATTGCAGCTGGCCCTAATGGGAGGATTACGTCACTTCTTTCATAGCCATTACTGCAAGTGAAGAGTGTGTCTGCCTCCTGAAGAGTAGCACAGGAAGTACTAGTAATAAAGGCTGTTTTGGAGTTGAGACATTAGACTTAATCATCTGAAATAATTTTCTTAGTTCTGCCACAGACTGCATAACCTCGAGTAAATAAATCTCTGGATCTCAATAACTATTGGTTCTGATCTCATGTTGAGATTAAATTAAGATCTTCAAGACAGACCCCATCCTTTTATATTTATACAATGATAGCATATAAAAAGAGTGCTGTGACAATTGTTTGAAACTTATAAGTCTATAAATGTCAATGTCTGAAACCCACATAGAGAAGTAACACATTGTACTACGTATATTAGGGCATAATACCAGAGGTTGCTGTTATAGATTTAGTTTCTGGGTATAAAGAATAGTGCAAATGTAGTTGTTTATCTGGTAAATTTAGATCTGATCTGAGTACAAACAATTCCTGAGCACTCTTTTTTTGTGCTCAGGAACAGATTCCTGTTTCCTCTTTGAGCGTTTTCTGGTCATACGACCATCAGTATTCACTTCCTTGAGGGAACTTCATTAACAGACTCAATATACAGATATACTGTTTTATTGCTTATTCTTACACTGCAAGATAGCAGTGTCTTGCTACTGTCTTGCTGTTCTCATGTGATAAATTGAATACAGGTGGCTATTGACTGTTTTTGGTCATCTAGATATGTCCAGTGAATAGAGTGCTGATCTGAAATTCAGTGTAATTATTACATTGTGAGTAAAGAAAAATATTGAAATTTCGTAATTTAAGTATACTAACTAGACCATGTCCCCATGCTTCCCAACTTTTTCTGTAGGGGGACAATATTTTCTTCCCTGTTAGCACTACAGAAAAAGAGAAACACTTATGATTATTTAAACTGAGAGAATCTTTTTCTAACAAAAATGTAACTTGTAGGTTAGGATCCTCTATCCTAGATAACCGTTGGTAAGCAAACCCCATATCCCCATTTGTCTGTGTAATGGACGTAATCACAGAATCACAGAATCGTTTAGGTTGGAAGGGACCTCTGGAGATCATCTCGTCCAACCTCCCTGCTCAAGCAGGGTCACCTAGAGCATATTGCCCAGGATCACATCCAGACGGGTTTTGAATATCTCCAGCGAAGGAGACTCCACCACCCCTCTGGGCAACCTGTTCCAATGCTCTGTCACCCTCACAGTGAAGAAGTTTTTTCTCAGGTTCAGATGGAACTTCCTGTGGTTCAGTTTCTGCCCATTGCCTCTTGTCCTGTTGCTGGGCACCACGGAGAAGAGGCTGGCCTCATCCTCTTGACACTCCCCCTTCAGATACTTGTACACGTTGATGAGATCCCCTCTCAATCTTCTCTTCTCCAGGCTGAACAGGCCTTACATTAGTAATGTTTCCCTAAATGTTATGCCAAGAAACTAAATTGCATATTTGGGATATATTAGTTACCTATTGAACTGTTGGTCACAGTGATGTAGCATAATGCATTCTAATGTTTTATCAACTAACAAATCTTAAGCAGTTGAAAAAGAAGCTGCAATTTTGACAGCACGTGACAGAACCTGCTATGTATGCTTTCAGTCAGTATTTTCTATTTCTTTTTGTTTTCAGATTAATCTTGGAAGCAACCAGTATCTTTTCTCAGTTGTTGTGGATCCCAAAGAAATGCCTTGCTTCTGTCTGAGGCATGATGTTGATGCTCTTCTCTGGCAGCCTCACGCTGACCAACCAGATAACATGTGGGAACACATTGCAACTTTTAATGCTTTAGGTATGAAGTTAACTTTTGTGTCACACTTCTCTGTCTGAGACTTTTCTGCTTGATTACTCTTAGTTTGGCTTCTGTTGATAATCCATGTAATTAAATTTGAATTGAAAGGTACTATAACTCTGTTGATAACAGAATGCTAGTTTAATTTTTGGAAATATTAGAACATGAGAGATAAAGGATGTTTATAAGGAAAATAAGTCTTTTCAGACTACATACAGGATTCAAGTATAGTCCTGCACAATAAAATGGAGAGTTCCTTAGATAAGTCAGCTATTTGAAGATTTTTAAGAGCACAGTCAGCACCTAAACACTTGCACAGAAATAATCAGGAAAACAGTAGCAGTTCACTGGTGACAGGTCTAGGTGTTTAATGCTTATGATAAGGTACTTTGATAAGCAACTTTTAGAATTTTCCTACCTGATTTACCCGGGTGGCAAGCCTGAAGAACTGGAAATGATTGTTCCCTGTCTCTTCTGCTATAGGAGCTAGAAGTATGAAATGATCCTAGTACATAATAGGTTGAAGAGAAACTAAAAGAGGTGCCTCATACGTGTGTAGTTAAGCTATGGAACCCTCTGCCACAAAACTTTTTGGGCAGGAAAATTTTTTGTGGATTAAAAAACAAAACAAAACAAAGAAGGAAAAATCAGTTAAGAGCATAATGATGCCACCTCTGCCCCAGGAAGTCTCTGTTCTGAAGTCAGACTGGCAGGAAAGCAGAATATATGATTGTGAAGAGCTCCTAGTTATTGGTCTGTTCTTGCAGTGAGGCCTGGGAATTTGTTTTTCGCTGCTGTTGGTAGCAGAATCCTGAGGCTCAGAAGCAGAAAAATGTGGAAAGACTTTTTTGACTTTTTTGACTTTTTTGACTGACTTTGAAAAATATGGATACACAAGGATAAGAATGGCCATATCAGATCAAGCAGAATGGTCCACATAGCCCAGTGTTGTATCAATTAAAAGACTGATAAATAAGTCTTCATGACATGAATCAAACGCAGAATATACTTCCACTGTGACAACTATACTCTTCCTGTTCTCTGGATGCTCTTTGGACTCATCTTTAATAATACCATGAGTGTGACAATTTATTGTCTCCCTCCCCCAAATAAAATTGGTTGACTGCACCAACACTAGTTAATCTGCACCCAAAATGAACAGGAAATTGTTGGCTGTTTTATAGAGCTTGCGAAGGTTGCCATAACACATAATTGGTTTTGTTCTGTTTTTATTTTTGCTATTTGTTCTGTTTTGTATATAAGTTATCTTTTTACAACCTGTTATTTTAACTTAAGGTCAAATTAAGCTGGAAGTATCTTAACGAGGTTCTCTAACAGAGAGGTGATTTTTTTTTTTTAATTTGATCTTTACTTACCTATTCCAAATTTCATAATTCTGTGGAAAAAATGTAAGACAAGAACTAAGTCTTTTTTCTAATTTATTAGGTTCAAGTTTCTATGCTGACTTTGTAGTATAGTTTTAAGAATGTGTTTTTATTATTTGAAATTAACAGGAAGGAAATTCTTATCTCTGAGCTTTTTGTACTTAACGGTGATAAAACAAATGTTGTTCCTCCACTTCTTTCTCCTAAATGTGCTATCGTTTTACAGTATTGTACAGAAGTGTAAACTTCAATATTAACCTAGTTCACCTTCTATTTGCCAGAGGTGGTGCACATCATTAGCTCATTTATCTACAACCAAATTTAGAAACACTTTGCTAGAGCTAGTAATAAAAATGAGTTACAAAAGTGAGTAATAGAAATGTATTTTCTAAATTAAAAAGCTAATTTTTCAAAACCTACAATGTTCATTATATTGGCCAAAACAATACTAGTTAACCCTGTTTCCCTGTTTCTCTGTTTGTACTTTTGGGATTAGTTTTTGACAAGCAGTACAAAGATGACTGAAAAATTATTATTTGGGACCAAGTGTTTTGTTCCATATATCTATCCTGACAACTTTCACTTGAAAAAAGTGATTGGTTTTGGATGGACCTTTGGCTGCTTACAGGTAGCTTCTAACGATTTGCTGCTGGTTGAAGGAGCAATGCTTGATCTTGTCCCTTCTTACCACAGTTTATTGAAAGAGCATCTGTCTTTCACCGACTACTCATCGGTCTGGGTATGTTTTGCTATACGTTCCCTGCTGCTAACATGGACCTGAAAATTGTGGTCTATAGACCAGAAAAATAGAAGGACAGTCGTGTTTTTTAGATTTATTAAATATATATATATATGATTTTATGTGTGGGAAATCCTATTTAAATACAAGTCCCTGGCTCAAAGGCCTCTTTACCTGGAGGACTGTATTTAAACACAACTTTTCTTTTCTGTACTAGTGTTTAGATATATGAATTAAATTAAGGAACTTGAACTTCAAAAATTTTCCTGGCTAATCTGATGTTTCCCAGTGGAGCAATTCTGTCAATTGATCATCTAGCTATATATTTACAAATTGTTTACCAATGAAAACCGTCAAGTGGTGTTAGAGATTTGAACGGAAATGCTGCGTTGGGGACAGTAGTAAGCATTTGCAAATTTAGGAAGTTTAGGATTATTGTTAAAACAAACTCATCTTTAGGCCTGAAAATTCACAGCTGAGGTATCAAGATATTTTGACCGCTACCCTATAGTGGTACTGGCAGAGAAGGATGGCTGAAAAAGGTGAACTCTAGCACACCTGCTATTATTAGAGATGCTGTCTTTCAATGATAGCTGTCGTCATGCCTTGTTCAATGGAAGTGACGCTAACAGCCTTTTGGAAAAATGATAGATTACTTTGCAAAGATTGTGTCTCAAGTCTGTTCTCAAAAGTGTGAGAGGATATCAGTTTGAAAGAAGTCTATTTCTTAATTGAGGTCTATAAAGAAAAAGAAAGACTTCCTTCTCAGTGAATATTAGCAGAAATTACAGTGGGTTGAAGAGTAGCTCATATTTGTTTCAGTTAGTTCTAAACAGAAGACAAGTTTGAAGTGTCTGTGTTCAAAATTAGGTAGACTCAGAAATCAGAAAGTGTTAATGTAATTACAAACTGGGGTGTGACAGGGGAAGAAGGTTATTTTGCTTAGTCTGCTAATATTGGGCCAGGATGCATATCCATGCCTTATGATCCCTACTGAGAAAATGGAAGACCTTGTAAGGAGGACACGTCCTAGATAGAGATGCTGTTTCTAGCTATACATACCTGTGTGTAAAAAGCACCAATTAGGAAAGTATACAGCAGAGTTTGTACATTGGTATTCTGTTGGTTAAAGTACTGGTTTATTTGAATGCCAACGAATATTTCTTTGATATATATTTCCTTCTTTTTTAGCTAATTGTTTGTTATTTTTGAAACTAACCGTGATTTTGACATAGTGGTTAGAAGTGCAATTGAAAACATTATATTGCTTCTCTCTGTTTCTGTGTATTTTTTGGGACTATGCAGGTTATGTCCAAGCATCAAAGCAAGACAAGAAGTTCATGGCTTGTGCCCCAAATCATTCCTACGCTGCTCTTTGTGAGTGCTTGCGTCGAGTTTTCATCTATCGCCAACCGACTCCTCTGTCTACAGTCCTCTACAACAGGAAGGAGGGAAGACAAGTGGGGCAGGTTGCTAAGCAGCTAGTAGCGACCCTGGAAGCCAGTGATCCTATCTTAGGCTTTCAAGCTACTAATGAGAGATTATTTGTTCTCACAGCAAAAACCTTGTTTTTAATAAAAGTAAACACTGGAAATTAATTATTTAGTATATCCTGTTGTAGTTTGTATTCACAATTGGTAGAAGAAATAACTAGGTAAATTATCGGAGTTCAGTATGTTTTGCTGAAGTTTAAAAGGAAATGTAACATTTTACAGGGGAATCAATTTTTCATTAGAAAGCCTTTCAACTTTGCTATCACTGAACTAAGGTTTGAGTTTTTTTGAGAGATACAAAAAAATGTCTCTGTGCTATCAGCTTTCTTAAAACTATTGTCAGGGACTTGATACTGCATAGGTGAATACATTTATGCGTTGTTCTTTTCCAAATAGTTGTATTTGCTGCACTTCGGAATTTTGAGAATTCACCTCTGTTTCTAATTGCCATTGTTTTCCTCTGAAGGAACTAGTCAGATAAGGAAGTAGAGCCTTGAGTTACAAGCATGTAATGTGCAAAGTAAAGAACAGTGTGTCATAAAGAAAAATTTTCAAATTCAAATACAATTGGTCAAAAGTGATTGAATATTTCAATATTCAAGGATATTGAATGGAATATGAATGGAATATTACATTTCTTATGCAAGTATTGAATTCAAGTGGAATAATTAATTGTATATGCAGGTTTTTGATTATTGATCTGTGACTTGCTCATGTTTGCAGTGAAATCTATTTGTATTTTAAGAGACACTGTAATAGCTTTTCATAACTTTTCCTTAAAGCAAAAGAGTGAATGTATATCTGGTAATTACATACTGAGCAGTACAGGTCAAAGTGTAGTTATAATTTCAGTTGTGATTTGCATCTCAGGTTGTACTTAAGATTAAGTAACTAATTGACAGTTAGAAAATGGCTAATGGAAAATGCACCTGTATCTTAACCTGAAATGTACAACTCATCAAGTGCTGCTTCTGCCTTAGACACCACCATAAATAATGTGTTACTAGCTAGCCATTCTGTCCCTGAGGCACAATCCAGATGTGGTATATTTGCAAAGTAAGAGTGCGCTGACCACGAGGATGCTCTAAAGCTTAACAAAACAGGCACGGTTAATTTATTGAAAAGTTATATCAGGAGATTGTTTCCTATTTTAAAGTGACAATGTCAGTACAGTTAAACCAAAAAAGAGTCAGTTGTGATGTTTGCCCCGTGTTTTTTAATTTTTATTTACAAGTCCATAGCAAAGAATCTCTAACCAATATATTGCATGCTACAGGAAAGCTGCTATGATTTGTGGAACCAGAGTACTGAAACAGACACAAATACAATGAGTGGCTTAGTAGTTTGCATCTTTTTTTCAGTATTTCAGACCTCAGTGAAAAGCTGTGGAGAAGAAAAGATATATTCCTTTTTATGGACTATCACGTTTTCAGCTGTGACTGCTTTGACCTTCCTGTAAGTTCTCCAAACCTATGTCAGTGCAGATATCGAACAAGATAAAACAAAAAAAAAAAAAAAAGCTCTTTCAAGGAGCCTAGTTTTCTTCTTCCTGACATCAATATTATATTGTATATGCATTATAAAGTTTTCCTTATTCTTACATGCATAAATTAAAACAGAGTTGAACCCCAAACCTTCCTCCTTATTCTATTTTTTAAAAACTGTCTTGATGTTTTTTAAAAAAGATTCAATGAACATGTTGCTGTTTCATGAGTGTTTTGCTTCTAAATTTTCATTATTGAAAAAAATAATGTCAAACAAGGTAGTAAAATTCGTGCAGCAGTCCTTTAGAAAAGATTTTATGCTGTTAATTACTTTGCAGCATAAAATGCATTGAGTTTTGTATGAATATTACTTAGTTTCCTGAAATTTAACCATTCGGAACACAGAGTGAAGAACAAATAATGTGTTTGGGGGAATGGAAGAGGGAATGAAATTCATAGGCAGCATGCTTTTGTCACCTTACATCTGTCACAGGATGCTCCAGGACAGATGAAAATTTAGCTCTTCTTTGTCAAATCCTGCTTGCTGTGAAATAGATATCTAGAAACAGACTCCTGTAATCTTCTGGAACAGATTAAACAAAGTTGAATAAAATGGTCACCTCTTCAGGGGCTGTGTTACAATACATAATGAGGAAAAAGATGCTACCCAATAATGTGTCTGATTCAAAAGAGTCTGTGTTTGCACATGGGTACAACTGTACACAGAGAAAAGGTTCATCCTTTGTTCTGTGTTGTTCATCTATTGGCAATGGTGCTGTATCCAGAAAGGGTGTGTCAGATGATCTCTGTTTTATTTTTCCTCTCTATATGAGTTAAGAACACTGTATTGTGTTAAAGACTTATTGCCTTGAGGAACCATGCATGCTGTTGCGCAGCAAGATAATATAATTAAATGGCTACAAGCCACAGGGAGACGTTTGCTATCATCAGTGTTTCCATTTCTCTGTTCACTTAATTTTTAAGCCTTATTTGTTTAGCGTATTAATGCAGGCTCATACAAAGAATATGGAATATTATGTGGATGTTTAAAAGGGCTGGTTTTCTGAAAACCATAGCCTGATTTTTCTGGGATTCTACCTCTTGAAATCTTACATTTTAAGACACAGTACTTCCTGAGAGATCCCAATCACAATTAACATCTGTTTACAGAATTTCTAAGAAACTATTTGGCTATTACACATTTACCTTATTTATTTCAAATGTTCTTTCTCCATGTTTTCCCTGGCTGGCTGCCTATTCGGAATGTATCATGTATTCTTCTGCAAGTTCAAAAACAATGGAAAAAATATCAAATTTTATTAATAAAGATTTTTGTAATTAGTTAAAAGAGTTTTTGTTCATTTCAAATGTGCCTCTTTCATGTGCTACTGAAACAAAACCGAAAAATCGAAACAAGACATTTCCAAAAGTAAGACTTGGTGTGTTAAGGAGTGTTTTGTGTTAGGGCGAAGTATGTTGGGTGCCTGCATTGCAATGTAACATCTGTTACCAAGACTTGCACTATTGCACTCCATGCTCATTTCTCTCAAAACCCCTATACAGTCATTTTTTTTCTCTCATGTCCCATAGCTGCCGACATATGAATTTATAAATGTAGTTATTGGAGGAGGTTGATACGTATTCAGGTGTATTCTTGTGTTAATGTGCACATTGCCTCCTTTCATCCTGTACTTGTTGCATGCTATGCCCAAATGATCTTTACAGATGCTTTTTGATGGAAGAAATCTGTACTTCCTTCTGCTCCCCTTCCATCAACCTCTAAGGGTGTTTTTGGGTGGGGGGAGGGGTGCAGGCTGCAAGGGAAGAGCGAAGGAGAAAACGGAGGGGTTGGTATGTATATTTCCTGTGTCAAAAAGTGGCTCTTCATGAGTGAAACAGCAGACACTGTGAGAGTACTAGTTAAGGCTGAAGCTTATTTTATTTCAGTTTGCTGTGCTTTATTTTAATAATGGACATTGCTGCTGCTATAACTTTCAAATTTTCTCACCTTCTGTCAATTTATATTTTATGTTCTCCTTATGCAAATGTGGTGTCAGATGCACTTGAAGCTTACAGTAAATCATGCATTAGTGTTTATAAGTTTACATGAATTATTGCTGATTCCTATCCTAAACTTACATATCACAACTTGCTTATGGATCAAATTATTATAATCACAGTGGCAATAATCTTAAATTCTGATTCTTAATTCAAGATTCTTCTCATTCTGTGGGAGAATAAAATGTGCATGATCACTTCTCTGATAACGGAAGTTATCAGAGTAGTAGGATTGACTAGTAGGATTGATTTTGCAAAGTGCTTCTGTAGTTTGGTTTAGAAGTATGTGTCTCATAGGCCATTCATAACAGCTTTCTGGAAATCTGGTGAGATCTGGGGGGTTTTGTTTCCCCTCTGTATAATGTATCTGCCTGTATGCTATGGATAAAGGTCAACAAGGTCGAGAGATGTTTTATACAGCTAGAGTCTTTGGGGGAAAAGAACCAAATATTAACCAAGTCTTTGTCAAGACTATTGCAGTAATATGATATGCAAAGTTTAGTGCTATGTTGCTTTGAGAAGTATCTGCTGAAGTCTTTTTCCTTTAAAAAAATATAACATTTAAACTGCTTCTGAAATCTTAGTTTCTTTTACCAAAGACTTTTACCATGTTGTAGCAGCTAGGTATCATTCATAATATGACGATAGATGTAATTAATAGGTTCAGAGTTAGACCTGGAAAATACTTACCATAGTGTTTATTAATCTAACACTCTCAGCAAAATATCCTGTATAATCCATTTCAGTGTTCTTTTGCAATCTAGGTAAACTGGCACTTGCAAGGATTTGTCAAGAGCGGTGCAAAAAAATCAAGAAAAATGAATCATTTTAGTGTCACTTTTATTAGTGTTGCTATGATGAATATACAGGTATCTGCTAGCCTTTCTTAATGGCCTGCTTGCACTCTGGACATGTGAGATTTTTGTGTGTGTGTGTATTTATATTTTTATCTATATCCATGCACACACCTATATTCGTGCTGCTTTAATGTACTGTGGATTACAGAAAGAATCTTCTTTTAATATTACTGACAGCAAAGCAAAGAATCTTCATTAACTGAAGTTTTTCCAAAAAAGGTACGGGCTGTGTATGAATCCATATATTTGTTGTGGAGCCAGCAGTCTGACCTAAAGTAGAAATACTTTGCTGCATGCTAAAATATGGAGTTGGACTTGGAAATAAGTTATCTAATGTGAAGGGATCCTGATTATTAGTTCGAAGTTCCCTTGGAATGTGTATTAGTTGTTTTGCTTTATCTTTTTTACTGGTTTTCTATCAAGTTTTCCTGTTGTCAATTGTTTTTTTCTCTTTTTTTTCATTGTTGTCTTGCGTCAAAATGTTAACATCTGCATGTCTGACATAACAGGATTGACACTGCAGTGCATTTAACTGCCATATCTAAAAACATCAGTTATGAAGCCTATGGAGTTTTTTTTCTACTGAAGATGAAATACATGGTATCTTATTATTGCATTTTATCAAAAATTTAAAGAACTCAGAGGCCAAGTTTTGCACAGATGCCTTCAGTTGAAAGAGATGATGCAGGAGTAATAAACATTTATTTTTATCAAAACAAGTGGTTTGAGTGGGAAAAGGAAAAGAACCATTGAATTACAAATACAGTCACTTTATCACTGTAATTGCTGCTGATTCGCCTTTAATGATTTTTCTCTTTGAAGATGTTCATTCTCTCTTCCTCTGTTCTATGTGTCCTCCCTAATAAATATAGAGTACCTTGAGGTTGAACTTTTTATTGGAATTTTCTGAATAACTGAACTATTTGCTCATGGTCTATCTGTAATATGGGCCTGAAGTAAAAGGTGGATACATCTAGTCATAAAGAGACCAGGAACACTGGCTCGTCTTTGATCAAGAGTTGATGACTGTCTGAACACAAATGAAAACTGATAGTATGAAGACATTCGCTTGCAATGTCATATTTTAACAAGAGTAAAAACATGGGAACCTGTGCAGGAGATTAAACTTGCTTAGGCAAGATAAAGGCTTAGGCTTCTTTTTAATATCCCTTAGAAGGTTATGCAATATTGCATTCCTACAGTTACATAAAAATAAAGCAAAATCCAATCACCTGTGAAAGTTACCATTGGCTATGGACTCCCAACAAGAGAGGCATGAAAGCTTGGCTGAACCCTGTGGGATCTGCACAAGAGTTAGCAGCTAACACATGAGTGGTATATTCAAGTCCTGGAGAAGAGAGCAAAACTTAGGAAATTCTACATAAAGAAAGGGTACAAAAGTGAACAACCATAGAGGGAAGAATGAGTAGTTGGAAAGATCAGGAAGAGAATGTGCCTACGTGTGATTAAGACTTTTGTTCCCCTTTTCTACACATCCCTAGTTTTCCTTCAATAGTGAAAAGAAATAAAATGTATGTGATTTGGAATAGAAAAGTAGCACAAAATATGAATTTGAGACCAATTCTTACTGCTATTTAGGGAACAGACATGCTGATTTTCGTAGTACTGTTTCCGGAGCTAAAGTGCTGTAGGTGTGAGATGTGTTTAAATTGCAGAGCAGACCTGCCTTCAGGTTTGTTCTGATAATCGCCAAACCTGACTGAAAGCTTTAACTGACCATGGGTGAGTTGTTTGTAGCTGTGGGCTCTCCAGTGCCGAGCCTTTGCCCCATCTGTTACCATCCCATGCCTGCGGTCCGCTGTGCTGCACCCTGTATCTCCACTTCTCAAGGCCTCTGCTGTCACACCAGACCTTGATGTCTCTGCGCTACGTCATTATGTTAGTTGTAAATGTCTCATTCTACATAGAATAACTGCCTGTTACTGCAGTCTATATAAACTGTGGTTGTGCTACACAATAAACAAAACAAATTAGCTGTAGACAGCTGGTCAAGGAGAGAAATTGCTGTCACAGCTAAACCAAGTGGAACAGAGCTGAGGGCAAGTCAAGAGAAGTTCGGACAGAGGAAGCGTG